TAAATAATTTAAAAATATATTGATTAAAAAATTGAAAAGATAATTAATTGCAAATGTAAAAATGCAATCATGATTAAAAATATTAGTCTAATAATAATAATAATTAATTATAAAAAGTTGTTTTATGTTATAATTGTATACGTTATATTATTTATTAAACACAGCTATTCAGAAATTAATCTTTTGTTATCAATCTTATTAAATTAGCATTTATTTTTCCGATACAAATCTTGTGCAACAATTGCTAAATAATACTAAAAATTTTTAAATATTTAAATAAAAAGATATTACACAAATGAAGGAATCTTCTAATTATTAAAAGAAAAGTATGTTGTTTGACTTATCCTTAAATAAATGATTTAAAAACCTACAAACGCTATGCGAAAAATAATAAAAATATCTAAATCGAGTCCAGATCACGCGCACGATTCATCTTCAGGTTTGAGGTCAGTGTGTCAGCCCAGCTTGGCCATAGAGAGAAGGGTAACATAGGAGAATTGCATTCCGAAGGGTAGATCGGTCGGATAACGTGGAACAAGGGTATCGAGCAAGTGTTTCTGGATCGTTCGTGCCGATAATATACGCCGTCGTATATTTTCTCCCTTTTTATTTTTCCGCGAAAGCCACGTAACTTTTCCCTCGTGGAAGCATCCCGCGAACGACCCGCACGAAGCCTTCCCTCCCTAGGTATCGACCGCCATTCATAATTTAGCTGAGTCGATCCTGAATGGAGGGGTGTATTGTAGCATCGTCTAGTCTGTATCGCGTTTCCCGAATTAAAGTCGAGCTTCCGCATTTTCCGCACAATGACATGACGTGACATCATCGACTATGCAAACTGGAGGAATAGACGGTGGCATAAATAACATTGCAATCGAAACCCTTGACATTATATCTTTGTCTAAGAGTGCATCGCACTATTCGCATGCGATTATTTTTAATCCGCGTTAATTATATGTGATAATCATATAATTCTGACTATTTTTAATATTTAAGTACTTGTAATATAATCTCCGAAAATTAAGTTTCTTAACTCCATAGCACTAAGTTTTTTTTTGTAATTGTAGATATATAAACGTCCTAAAATGCTTTGTTTTATATATATTTATTGTTGCACAATATAATATTTGTATGTTTGTACTACTGAAAGCAATATGTTGTTTCTACATTAATATATAAATATTTTTCTATTATATTATTGTAACATTCCAAGTATTTATAAATATAAATATTAAATTTAATATAGTATAATTTTTCCATTCTGTTATAGAAGAACCGAGAATTTGCGTTTGAATGACAAGTTTTGATAAAGAATCTTTTTACCATAATTTGAATAATCGTGGAATTCCTTTCTTCAATTCTTTTTATTCATTTCTTTTATAATGTTTGCACATAGTTTAAAAATATGAAATAATTGCATAATCGTTAATTGATCAAAAAATGTTTTACGATCAAGATAATCGAGTACCATTGTTTAATCAATTGCTCCTCTACAAATTTATATGGTATCAAAAATAAAATTCATTGAATTTCAAGATAAACATAATATTCGAAGCTTTAACCGAACATTTTCTCAGACATTCTATTGAGTTTTTCATCGGAATAGTCTTTCAATAGATTTGCAACTTGCTACAATTCAAAATCAATTGCAATTCTGATCAATGCGCAAGCGTTTACCCACATGAAAATAACATTATCAACTCGAAGATCGATATATGTCGCAATTATCGTCTATAATATTCGCTTAATTATAAGCAAACCTTGTAACCATCGTCACGCAACGCTTTGTTACATGAAAAGCAGCTTAATGAAGCCCCGAGTGTATTATATGTAGCTTAAGCAATTACGTTGCTATACTTGTATACTTGCTAGTCTCTCGTCTCGCCGCCACTACTTAGACTTCGATAACGCGTGACTCCGCTACCGATTTTTCCATTTTTGTACCTCTTTTAACAGATGTAAAAAACGCAAGGTACAACTACAGTTGATCAGCGAGATTATCGGAACACAAAATAATTCTAAGCAGTTTTCTCTGCGATGTGGTAACATTAATTGCGCACTAAAATGCTTTTTACAAGAGAAAAATTTTATTTGTCGAGGTTTGACGAATAATTTACGATATAAATATATTAACATTGCAATGTGAATGATATCTATTTGATAAAATCAAAAATAAATATTTCCAAAAATCTGTTATTTCAATTAAAATATTTTCTACTGGATAACACAGAATAAAAAATGCTTGAACATGTCGGCCGAAAATAGTTTTATCAATACATCAATTAACACGTTATTGATTATATTAAAACTTTAGATTATGTACAGTCGATATTCTATAGTCTGTATTCTAAACTAATGGATATTTTTTTAATCATCCCTTAATTTGTATTCCCAGACAAAGATGTTATTAAATAGTACTTAGTTAAATTGCGACTGCAAAAATAAACGTATTTTTGTAATGGTAACTTTAAGAACAAGTAAGCAAAACAATATTAATTAACTTTGTATTTAATTTATCCGAATAGAATTTAAAATTTAATTACGAAACTTTCAAATATGTAATATTGAAAATTGAAAAGTTGCGGCAATTGATGGTCTTTCTCAACCTTTTTGTCAAGAGAAATTTGACTTAAAATTAATTACATAATTTATGCAATTAAAAAGATACTTGGTAAATTCACAATAGCTAGTATATGGCTGTTTTATATTTGTCTACGTTACTCTTGTGTGACGTGACTGAAGACAAACTTATATAAGGTTTGCTCATTTAAGACAGGAAATTGCAACAGAAATGTCAAACGATGATATGAACTATTTCAATACATAATCATTATTTCACGGAACAATATTTTGCATTAATATTAATAACTCTATTAATATTATTTCTATCGTAAGATAATAGAAATAATTGTTTAACCCTGTAATGTGGTTACAGTTATTTTTATGATATGATTAAAGACGAAACTATATGACAAATTCTGGTATTAATAATTAATACGATAATATATATAATAATGGCAATTAAATTGTAAAGTTATAATTAATAAGTTAATATTTATAACTATACTATTTATATCATTAAAGCAAATCAAAATTATTTTAAAAACTTATTATTTTTTAGATATTTATTAATTGCAGAATCAATGCGTATTGAATATTCAATGTATAATAAAAAAAGCAATACATGTACATATATATAAATTATGAAAGATAGATGATGACCATAAAATATATGAATTGTATTAAAACAAGATAACATATGGACTCCACACACATTTAATCTATTTAAAAATTACAAATTATATCTTTCTTACTTTATTCTATCAATTTTATATATACAATCTGTTCTAATAATAGAATATAGTTTACATTTATACCCACAGTATTGCTGTTCGATATAATCAGTAACGAGATACTTAATCTCATACTTAATCATCGTATATATGATTACATATCCATTAGTTTCCTTATCGAACTGCATAACATTGAATATTCCTGGCTAGAAATAATTCTGACAGTTTCACTTTTGTTGAGAGTTTTCTTTGACATACATATCCACCGTTCAAATCCACTGAGTCGTAAATGTAAACAACTTTTCTTCCATTCTCACTTTTAATCATATTATTTTAAAATAATTTCTTGAACATTGCAATAAATCACGCAATATTTTTATATCAAAGTTGTCAATTAAATCAGAAGAGTGATGCTGTGGAATAAGTTCTAATAAAGTTGTAAATATATTGTATTATAAAATAATGCAATTTAATAAGATACGATAAGCGATATAAAGATAATTCCTTTCAGTCATTTTATTTGTGATAGTTTATTACATCCCAACACATTGATCGATTCAAAAATCTCTGAAACAAATATTCCTATTTTATTTATATAATCATGTATATTCTACTAAAAAATATCTTTTTGATAAACAAAGATTAGAATCTCTGACAGGATTAGCTTAACTCAATTAAAACTCTATATAGTCTAATCTTTAGTTTAACTCTTTAATCTAATTCAATTTCCAATACGTGGCTTTACGACTATACGGAAACTGAGAGGGTTGATTAAAAACACGGTCTCTCTCGTGGGTTTGAAACGCTGCTATTTTTATCCATTCTCATATCCGACGACAATCAACGACGTGATATCATTGCGGCTGACAAAAAGAAAGCACCGAGCGACGTTTTTCCCAGCGGGGCTCTTCAATTACCGCCGGAGCGAGAGCGCTTTTCTATCGGGATGCACGATGACGAACAACCCCGAACTCGTATCCGACACAGCAGGGGGTTACTCTCTTTTGTTTAGTTAACCGAATATTTGTCCATCCATGCGCGTGTGTCGCGATAAGGTGTGATCCACGAGTAGCGGACGGGCGCGCGAGTAAATGCACATTGCAGATTTCCAGCCGCGTGCTTGGCTCGCGATGTGATTTTTATTTATTCTCCGTATATGCACTTATTATTAGTAGCAGCTCTTTGTAACAATTTTGCAACAAATAAAAAAAAAAATAAAAAAGCAAAATTTATTTGTAAAAAATCTCAATGGTGTTAATCAAAGATAATCCTCGCACAATATTTCATATATATTTTAAATTTTGTAGCTAGATTTGAAAAATTGTCATAGATTTGATAGTCTATTTAAAAAAAAAAATGACATTATTATAAGGGAATTGATTTAAAATATTATAAATATTTTATATATTTGATTATTATATCTATATATA